GGTCTGTGACCAGCACAATGGATCTCACTGATTTTGGAAGTGATACCATTGCAGGTTAGGTAGCTGTGGGGTTTCTGAGGATCTCAGATTCAGATTTAACATCAAATAACCAAGTGTTTGCTCAGTTATTCTAGAATAATCTCGTATCTACTGTCTTTCAAGACCACAACTTGGTCATCATACAAAAGTCATAGTCAAAGTAATTACGAAGCAACTGCTAAGTAGAGGTTTGTGTAGTACTGGCACAGGCCACAGCGTGACAACATTACATTGCATTTAAATTTTTAATTGCTTTAACTATTCAAGGTGTCTTCCTTTGATCTGGATTAATAGGGTATAAAAATCCCTCGTTAGACAGCTACAATTTCATTTCTGCCTTGTTTGCAAAATAAGCACCTGGGCTCATGTACAGATTTGTGGTAGCTTTTTCTTTGGCTCTTATCCCACACCTCTTTCTTTGTTTTTGTTTTTGTTTTTTTTTTAAGAGATTCCAGCTTTACAAAAGTAGCTGGATTAGAGCAAAGGCCTCTGTCAGACACAGATTTTTGTAGTATGAGTAGCTTGTGTCTTAATTTTGCAGTGTTTTCTGACCTAAATGGGGCTCGCCCTCTGTTTCTTGGATGAAGCAAGAGGGATTCCTGTGTTCATTCAACCCTTAGCTCTCTTCAAAGATTTACATAAAACATTTTCAGCTGCTTTTGGCTTTTGTTTTAATTAATGAGTTAATTGGAACACCAAAAAGCCACCATTTCCTTTTCACAAGCAATAGACACAGCTTTTAACCACAACATTCTTAACAAAACCTGTTAAATATGTTGGTTTTACAAATAAAACTTGTCAGAGGGCCTGTGTCCAATGGTAACATTTGAGGATTGTAAAATACCATTCTATATTGAAACGCTTAACAGGCCTGTTGCAGCCCATCTGTCTGTCTGAGAAGGTCTCTGACTCAAGCCTTTCTCTCAATTAAAAATGTCTGGAGTATCCCAATTTCAGAAACTTTCTCCTTAGAGAAATCAGAATTAACAATCTCCTGAAGACTTACATTTAGTCTTACTGAGTCTTAGTTCAATTTTCTTTGGTCCAAGTTTGTCACGGTAGCCATCAACATGGGGCATTTTCAGAAATTATTCCTGCTTCTCTGTGCCTGCATTCCTACAGCTGGGTGTTGGGCTCTGCCCCCCTCTTACCTCCTTCCACCAACTGCCATGTATCCCCCTCCCAACAAATTTTCAGCAGAGGTATGTGAATGAGGGCCAATATGGGGACGGTTTCTTGTGACACGGGTGTAAGACCACGAGTTACGCACTTTGCCGTGGTTGAGCAGAGGAAAGGAGGAGTCTGCTGAAGTTCTCAGGCTCCTATTGCCCCTGTAGCTTGTAGCCCAGCCAACAAGTTACTGGGCTGTATGCTTGAAAGCTCTGTTGGAACTGAATCTGTGCCTCCCTGCCAAGGTGATGTCTCGTACCAGTATCTGAGCTTTGGGAATACTGCTGTGGTGCTGACTTCAGCCTGGGCACGCTCTCTCTCAGGTGGTGCCGACCCTGCGGACCCTGTGGCAGCGCGGCCATCAGGTTATAGTCTCCTACGAAGAGGAGGTGGAGGTGGTGACGCACCGCGAGCTGTGGCCCGCCATCCCCTACTGGTGGGGGAACAAAACCACCACCCGGGCTCTGATCCGGTACCTGGAGCGCATGAAGCGGGCGGGCCGCCCAGGTAGGCACAGCCCCGCCCGCTGGTGTCGTCGTGCCGTCCCCCGGGCAGGACGCTGCTCCCCGAGGCAGCGCTGATGATGGGGAGCTGCTTTCTGCCAGCCTCGCTCTGGGGAGAGAGCCCCGCGGGCGTGCTGCCTGGAGCCTGGGGCTGCATCAGCCCGGGCACGCCGGGTGCTCCAGGCTGAGGCATGCACTTGGCCAGCTCTGACGCGGCTCTGGGGTGTGACACGTGGGGTGGCCACGGGAAGAACGCGTCAAAAGCGGGCTCCCCAGCCAGAGGAAATACTCGTGTAGGTGCACCCCGTGTTCCAGCCTGCCACGGGGCAAAGCCGGGCATTTGGGAGCAACGCTTACAGAAACAAACATAATTTACAAGAGGAGAAGTAGCGGAGACCCTTCAGTCTGCCATGAATCATTTAGATAAATGTAGCTCAGCTGGGATGTCTCGGTAACCGAGCTGCTTCAGCAACTGTCTGCTGCAGCATGCAGGTGCAGCAAGGGCAGGCAGCCCACTGGAACTGTTCTAAGGGTAGGGGGAAATACAGAAGGAGCAAGAAGTTAGTATTTTAATGATTCCCACAGGAAGAAGCTCTGGAGTTAATGCAATGCTGAGCAGTTTCTGCTCTCCTCAAATGAATGTTTAATGCGTCACCTTCTTATTTTTGTTTCAGAAAAATTCTTTGTAGCCGGGATTAATCTTACTGAAAATTTAAGGTATATTCTTGCACACCCATTTGGATCATTGAAGAAAATGACACTTCGGAGTCTTCCGTGCTTGAAAATCTGGATAAAGCAGCAGTATCCAGGACCAAAAAAAGAATGTATTAACATAATTGCTGGAGACTTTATAGGAAACAACGATTTTGTCAAAGAAGTGATAGAACTTAACAGAAAAATTAACCCCTCATTCCACTGTCAAAGTAAAGGAGATGGAACAAATAGCATTTCATTCTCAGCTTCTTAATCTGTGAAAAGATGAAAAGGCTTTGTCTGCATTTAATGTGTCCTACTTTACACATTCTGGAGCCCATAAAGGTCCAGTTAACTTAAACCAGGGATGTTCTAAAGACTCTGTATGAGAAGTGCTCTCAGCATCGTCAGGGTTTCAAGGCCTTGTATCAGAAAAGACAGCAGGCAGACCTTGAAGTCTCTGGAGAACTATGGTATAGGTAAAACTTACTTGGAGGGGCTTAGATTCTGTAGCAGTTAGCAATATTGAAACTCCCAAGATCGTAAATCTTATTTTATTTCACCTATAAGAAATAAATCAGTAGCTGCATGAGTTATTTTTTTATAAGATTTTTATCTTTCTTATAACTAAAGATATTCTGCACTACTTGCAACCTCAAATCTGTCTTTTATATCAGTGTGAAACTGACTTGTCTATTTTCATATTGTGTTAAATATACAAAATGAACACTTTAAAATATTTTTGATATATCAAAGATACTGTATTGACAATCTTATGTGATATGATTTTTATAGAGCTCTGTTAGGTGTATTTGTGTATATATATGTCTGTCATTAACACTTGAGATCTAGGAGTGGCTGTACTGTTGTGTGCTGAGTGTCAGTTATGAGGCTAATGGGGTAGTGACTAATTTTGCAACTAATAGAGTAGTCACAAAATTCATTATAATATGTAAGAGGTGTGTGTATTTGAACACTTATGCTTTCTGTCACTCGTGCCAGTTTTGCAGTGTTAAAGATACCAGAACTAGGCCCCTAGGCAGTTTTGTAATGAAATATGTTTTATTAGGTGTTGCCAAAACATGACTCACGCTGAAAATAAACATACAGGAAACAAATTCTTTATCTAAACTCAGACTGCTCTAGAAATTCAGATTCTCAGTTTCTGTCATGCTAATTTGGGGTGTCACACCCAGTCTTTTATTTAGCTATTTTAGTAGAACTACAATGATTTTTTTTTGTCTTAGTAGAGTAGTTTTTGCTTATGTAAAAACCGAGGGGTTTAAGCTGTTTGCCATTGCATATGAAACCTATTTTTTTTTTAATGAACTGTGCAATAACAGATGATCATGAAGGTAAGAAAAATGGCAATCTTAGGACTAAACCAAAACCAGGTATTGTATGAAGTTGACTCTGCAGCCTCATCATCAACATACCTCAAGTTTCACATGCACTTTATATGTAAAAGCTGAGTTCGTATGTCTGGCAGGAGGTGTTTGCAGAAGTTTTAAATCAGCTGCTGCTTGACATCAGGGCAAACTAGCCCTAGATGTCTCAGCACAAGGCTAAGATGCTACCTCCTCACGCAACCTCTTACCATTGTAGAATATGTGGGAATAAACCCATAAATATTCAATTTTATAAAGATGACTTGCTAAATGCTTTTCCACAGTGCTTCGTATCCTTGTTTGTCTCTATGTACTTCACACTGAACAGTCACTCAGTTCTGGTTTTTTTTTCAAGTCATTATTTGCCTGAAGTATTGCTATGCACGTTCAGAATGTTTTTCTGCTTATCTTTTGTACCCTCAAGTGGCTTGTTACTCTGTTCAATAAAACTTGATCTCTCTGTGTAATATGGACCAAAATAGTTTTGCTTCTTTCTATGATAATGATCATTTTATTAGTTCCTAGTAGTAATTAATAACTCAAGTTATGGATCAGGTTTTATTTTTTTTCCTTTGTGAAGTAATTGCACACCAAATCCACAGTTTGATGTACCTTAAATGTTTTCTCTAAGAACGGACACAGTAACGGGTACTGCGGATAAATCACCACAGGCAAGAAAACTGTATAGGTACAATGTTCACAGCTAACTTTATTTATTGCTTAAATATACAAACCTAAGGGGGTTTGCTTCACTGCAATAAGACATGGCAGTTAAGTTATTTAGGTTCATGCATTCATTCTGCTTGAATGCCTATTTATCTCTGTTATTTACAGATAGCCAACAACATTTTGTTCACCAACTTTCAGTTTCCAAGGACCATCTGAGACACTTCAACTATAATAAATAGTATTTTATTATTAAAAAAACGGGTAAAAAGCTTTATTTATGTGACATAAGAAACACAGTACTTTTCAGAAGGTTAATTCAGATGCCATCCAGTGATTTCCATGTGTTTGAGGTCCACAGCTTGTAGCCAACAAATGCTTTATTATTAAAAATTGAGTGCTGACCTTGCATTTGGTGTCAGAATGAAGCTCAGACTTTTCCCATACAGAAGTTTTCTGAAACAGTGTCTGTTCCTAAAATGCATCAAAAACATCAACTGGAGAAGAAAGACTCTCTTTAACACTCAGAAGAAGAGGTCATTAACTTCATTTCACATCCCCTTGGTGAGATCAGTGTCTTTTCCCAGAAAAGGACGCTGGTTCACGGCACAACAATCTTGCTGTTGGGAAAGAGGTTTTTGTATCTGCCAAAAGCAGAGTTGCTGATTATCACCTTCACCCTGGCTGTACCATCCTCGGGCATGACTTCCACCTCCTGCACTGTTGCTTCTTTATAGAGCCAACTGTAAAAATAAAAGCATATTATCACCCTAAAGGTATGACTCAGCACATAAAATGTGATCTGTGTTTTAAGTCAACATGTTCTAATCTAGGCAATTTAACACTTTAACAGATAAAGTCCTTCACTTAACTTTCTGTTTGCTGTTTGCTATTTGCTGTTTGGAAATTTGCTGTTTTCCTAAATTATTCAGATTTGTGGTTTTGTCAAAAACCTGGCTCCTGGACCAGTGGCATGGTCTTTCAGGAGGTAAGTTTTATTGTAGTAGCACACACAGCTCTGTGAAGGACATTTTCAGAAGCAGACTCCAGAGTATCTAATGGGGATATTTTTTCTCAATAGGTCAGAAAATTTTGATAATTATCCCTATAATCCTTTACACAGATTAAAATCAGTATGATATGATTTGGAAATTTTAAGACATGCAAGACTAAAAGTTTCATTATTTCTCCAAGTCCTTCTTAAAATTAAAAAACTGTTTACCTTAGCTGAGGTCCTTCTAAGTTGATGTTAACTGTCAGAATCTTTTTCCCTGTCACTGTCAAAATTTTCTTCTCTATTTCTTCTTTCAGCTCTTCTAAACCATGTCCATGCAGAGCAGAAATGGCTAAAGCATTTTCTTCAGTGGGTTTATACCTGAAAAACAACAACTGCTATCGCATTTGCTCATGAAGATTAGGCTGTAAAAATATTCCAAGCATGGACAATTTAATTTTATTACTTTATACTGGCACCTTCCTGCAGAAGCCACTTGTCTGACTCAAGTGGTTTCTTTTGTAATCAAAAGATAAGTATTTATTTTTAGGACCAAAATTATATAAGTGGAAGATTGAGAAACACTGTTAGACATATTCAGAAGTGTGGGAGCTCTTTTTTAGGCTAAGAATTATAAGGCTTCCAGAACACAAGAAATATTTCAGTACACTTAGCATCTCCTGCTTACCTTTCTATCAAATCCACTTTGTTATGAACTTCTATGATTGAGTCCAGTAAGTGGCTGGGAAGATTAAGATTCTTCAGAACCGACAGAACAGTTGCTTTCTGGAGGGTGGTTTCTGGGTGAGTAATATCCCTCACATGAACTATCAGATCCTAGCAAGCATCAATGTGCAGGACAGTTAATGAAACACAGCAGTTACCAGCCTGCAGAGATTTTATACTATTTTTGCATTGCTAATTCATGTAAGATACTTTCCTATCCATTAGATAATACACTGGCAGGCTAACACTAACACCAACTACTAAAACGGTATTACACCAATTCTAGTTTTTGCACCACAAAGGAAGAAAATCTGTGGCAGCTTAGTCCTTCACTTCACAGTGAGTACTGCTTCCCAAAACCCTGAAACAAACCCTGTCAACCAAGCTAGTTACAAAATTCAGGTTTCAAACAATAACTGACTCAATTTTTCAAAGTCAGTGCTGTGTAATAAGGCTTCAAAAATACTGGAGAAGACAGAGTGAACTCTAAAAAGGCTTTAGAAGAGTAATGGCTGAAAAACTATTTCAAAAATGGTGGGGAAATTCCCACGTAACTTTTATGTTCAAATGCAGATTATCCTTATCCTTATCCTTAGCCCCTAAGAATCTGTTACTGGTGTTTCACTTGGAAAGCTTTGCACAACAGCAATCAGTTTCAAGTATGTACGCGATCATTCTTGCCATGATAAAAACTAGGCAACCGAATTCAATACTTGCATTCAAAATGTTTCATCAGCTTTGCTCAAGATACTGCTTCAAACTTCTGAAAATTAATCAGAAGTAAATTTCTTGCCTTTCATTTAATGCCTCAGAATAAAAGACAAATGGGGTAGTTGGAGCCAGCTTTTGAAAGTCCTGTTATTGCAGGCTGAAGTCCAGTCCTCAGGAGCATTCCCCCATCTAGCTGCCACTGAATTTCATTTCCTTTGATGATACAGGCTTTTTGTTTAAATGTCTGTGTGTATGCAGCTTTACACTTTGCTATAACACAGGAAACTAACTTTAATGAGAAAATGATTGGAAAAATACATTTATGTTTATTACATGCTGCCTGCATCACATCACAATCACCTACTTCTAGCGCTACAGGCAACCTTAAGTTAAAACCAGATCATTCCAGAGGCTTTATTTTAACTGTCAACAAAGCTAGTCTCAGCTTATTTGGATGCACTACTTAGGTTTTCAGACATTTAATCAGCAGAATCTGATTTATCTGGTTTACGTATCATGGAGAAGAACACAAAACCCAAATAAAGCCTTTCTGAAATCTCTTCATTATGTACATGTTCTGCATAATTTCAAGTATCAGAAAATTGGTTTATGATATGAAATTTACATCATTATCTTAGGAGACCACTATAGTCAGCTGGATACTTCACTAAGAGCAGCATGCCAATTAACTTCCCCTTTTTGGAAGGGGTGAGGATTATCCAAAAGGAAATTTGATCACTCAGATTTTATAGTCAACTACTTACTGAGTAGGCCACTTCTTCTAATGTCGCTGAAAAGGACTCAACCAGATTATGTGGGAGATCAGTCAGAAACCCAATGGTGTCAACATAAATAACTGCCATATGTGAGGGCAGATAGCCAGCATGGGCTGTGATATCAAGAGTGGCAAACAGCTGATCTCGAGGTTGCAGCCCTGCTTCTCCAGTCAAGGCTTTGATCAAGGTAGTTTTTCCTAATTAAACAAACAAAGGACAAGATTTTAATGGCTTCTTTCAAGGAAAAAGTCCATTTGCAAGGCTCAAGTGAGTTGTATGACATATCTTTTCTTATCTATTTCACTAATTTAAACCTAGCCTACGATTAGTTATCTATGTGATGTTAGTAAATCCAAAGACAGTCTTAACTTTCATAACTTGGAATTGGATTTAAGGCCACGTCTGGAAGCTATGCTGCAAAATCACACGATGATCAAAGACCTGCAAAGTGACCTACCCACATCTCTCACCTCACAGACTATCTGAAGAGCACTGCCATGACAGCATGAGGAGGCAGACATTTACACATTCCCCAGGGCTTCTGTTGTCAAATAATTCAATATTTACTTGAATTATTAATCCAAAACCAAACACAAACACTAATAATATGTAGCTTATTAGGTTTAGGGTTTATGCTTTTACTGGGTGTTTCCTCATGACTGTAATACTAGAGACATGCATTTAACTCAATAAATATTTCACAGAATTTAGTCATTAAAGTGCTCAGCATATACCCTAGTTAAAGTATTTCAATTATGTGTACTAAATTGTTATATATGTATCTGTAGTTAAATCTTCAGTTTTACAAGTATGGAAGTATGACATTTAAGAGAAATTTAGCATGTAAGCCAAATCTTTGAGTATATAACTGATAACAAAATTAGTGGAAGGTAAATTTGTTTTTATTAAGATGCTGGGTAAGAAAATGAGATGGTCCTGAGATAATGTAACCTGAAAAAAGTGTTCAGTCCAAAGTCTATTTATGCCTTGTGTCTGAATTCACTTGTGTAGACTATATGAAAAAAGAGAACAGAAAGCCCCCTTAGCTTTATTTAGATTCTTTTAGGAACACATCTCAGAATGCTATACAACAGTCAGTGAAAAGCTACAGTGCTTCTTAAGCACATTTCTCACATGGACTGCCAGCTCTCCTGAATGTTCCTTGTGTGCCTCAAGCCTCAGTGATCCAAACACTCATGTACTTCTCTCTACTCATTCTGATCGAGTCATAGAGATTACTCTATATAGAAAGGGACAGCACAACAGTGGTAGGCATTTCTTCAAAACATGTCTTCAAGATGAAAAAAAACCCAAATCTAACTAAAACAAGCGCAATTTGCTTTGCTAACTACATTCGAATTGATACATATTAATTACACAATTTATCAGCTAATTAAAATAGGAAGCCTATTCACACTGAAATGAGATTCTGGCTAGAGTTTCTAATTGAAAATTGGACCATGTAAGCTCTTTGGTGTTATAACTCATGAGTCTGTGCTTACCACAATTAGTATAGCCCATTACTGAGACAGTCGGAAACTCGCGTTTTCTGCGCTGAGTTCTAAGTAAAGACCTTTTTCTTCTTAGTCTCTCCAGAGCATTCCTAATTTTAAGTTCTTTTTCTTTCAGGACACGAGTCTGTGTCTCCATGAACGTTTCACCTGAAAAATACAAATGGATAATTGACAGAATAGCCTACAAGAGAAAGAGTAAACCAAGTGATGTTGTGCATTTGGAAATCAAGTGAGTTAGCACTAGGGCATAGAAGTTCAGTTGCATAAGCAACTAAAACTACATATTCTTGCCTAAAAGTCAGAGGGATGAGTAATTATTTAAAAATACACTAAGCACTGTAGTATAACCATGTACGTTTATAATAAACCCCTGTGGCAGCAAACAGTCTGGTCTGTGGCCACTTATTGAGCCAGTCCAGACCAAAACTTTATTATACAAGTTACTTTTCAAAAAATTTTTGCACTTCACTTAATCAGATGCAGAACACAGACAGTTTTTCCTCCCAGCCTCCTCCAAACAGACTAAGATGCAATTAAATTTGTTTAAATGCTATGGAGAAAAAATATCCTCATAATCCTTGAGAATTTTTAGACTGTACCTGAGCCCATGATGTATCTTGATCCACCCCTCTGCTGATCTAGCTGAGACACCTCATTTTTCAAATTTGACCTGGCAGTGGAGTAACAGTTAATTAGAAGCAATTTTCTTTAATCAAACTACCCTAAAATGCCTAACAAATGTGAAGCAGTAGTGATATTCTAATAGTACAAATAAAACCACTTAATGAAAATTTTAGCTTTAAATAAAACCTGCTCACAGCAAGAAGCCTGGAAAAAAAACAAAACACCAAAAATCCAGATTTTCCTGACTCCTCAACTATGGCTCAAAAAAACATGCAACTCTCTCAGCAAATTATAATGACTAATCAGAAATTTCAGAGAGCCAAAGATGCCCCTGATACATCCATGCAACTCACACCAATTGCCATGTGCCAATATTTCTATGCCATGTAATGTAGAAACGTCGAAAATTCAGATACAAATCAATGCCTTTAATTGTCCTCATTTATAGCTTTCCTTCTTCAACCCAACCAATGACATTAAAGCAAATATTCCTATGCTCTAATCAATCACTGAGCACTAGGCAAGCACTGAAACAATGTCATTCTTCTATACAGTCCAGTATTACTATTTTTGTTACTGTAAAGCAATAGTCACTAAAATACCAGTATGTGATTTGCCCAAGCTCAAGGTACCTGAGAAGTGGAATTTCGGCCAGTGCTATCTGAAGTTTTGCTTCTTTGGTCTGGGCATTACAACGGAAAATGTGAAGCACAACTGTGTATCTGTCAAAGACCTTCACGCCCCAGGCATCTTCTAGTTCTCTCTTCAGCCATGCAAGACAAAACAACCTGGGTGTCTTTTTTTTACCCGAAGTATCTGTGTATCAATTCCTACACAGAGCTGCAGTTACAGGTAGCTGATGGATGCTTGAACTCTGAGGATCTCAGGATCCCACTTCAATGGATGGGCAATGATTAGGAGCACAAAAAGACAAAACTTGTTTGACCATGAAGAAAGGTCATCAAAACAGTTTAGAAGCAGAACTTAATGTCTAGGCCCACCAAATTCAGCACAAATCCTCCCACTGCCTTTCATGGATTCTGACAACAGTGCATACAGCACATCTCAGAATCAAGCATCTCAGTGGTTAAGCCCTTGTGAAAAAAATATGAAATGCTGGAATGGGAGAGGGCTAACATAAGAAATGAAAAAAAGTTACCAAAATAATAATAATAAAAAAAAAAATAAAAAGAGAGGAAGGCAGGGAAATTATTTTGTAATCACCTTTTCAGAGTGTACTTACAAAAATCAAAAAACCCAACAAACAACTAAACACAAAAGCCCTGAGGCTTGCTCTAATTCAGCAAAAATATGCTGTTCACCTCTGCCTTTGTAATCTAGAATGCTTGTGTTTTATACATGTTACCACTTTCTTGAATCAACCCTATTCAATCGGTCTTAAGACCCAGATTTGCAAGATTTTTTTTTTTAGCAAACCTAGTACTAGAACAACTCTTACTATAAATTAGGGAATAAAACCCAGGAAATTGAAATTAAACATTTCAACTTCTATTTCATCAATAAATTGAAGTGCTTGAGATAGCTCTATTAGAGATATTCATCATCTCTGTTCATTTTATAATCAGGGAGAGTTCAAAGCTACCAGCAGAGCATAACTGTTTGCTTGAGGAGTTTGCATGCACTTTACACCCTGCACGACGCTGTACATGCACAAACCCTACAAAGTACTTTTTTCAGTTTGTCTAAGCATTTCAAAGAGCATCTGTAGTTCATGCACCAATTGTTTTACTGCCAGTGTTAAAAACAGTGAGGCAGGCTTCTCCCCTCAACATATTCCATCCATTAAAAGGATAGTTTCTTTTTAAGGGTTAGGAATGAAAGTGTCAATATTAGAAATGTTTAAGTTTGCTCTGAATTTACATCTCATATTCAAAATACAACACAGCATCCACAGAACTACAGGAGAATAAATACGTTATCCATATAGGTATAGAAACTGGGGCATACAGCTAATCCAAAACATTGACATTCTTCATAATAAAGCTGTGCCACCATTTGTGAAAAAGACCCTGAGCAACTTTTCAAACATGGTAAGCAGTGACAGTTGCAAACGTGTGAGCAGAGTGTATACTGAACAGCTATTAGACTGGTGGAAAATTTCATGCACAAGAGCTAGAAGCACACATATCAAATGGACATATGTAAGGGGAATTGTTTCCTTTCAACAAAACTCAACCCAGGGGGCATCATCTATTACCATTTGCAAATTCAGTCATAACTGACCCTAATTCTCATAAATTCAATAGCTTCCGAACAACACTGATGTAAAGAATATGAACTGATATTATATTTAATTACCTTTGTTAGTGAAGATATTCTTTCCACATTCATGAAGACAGCTGTCACATTGGGCAATTTTTTAATCTTTTCTAAAAGATGGATAACCATTTCAAGATACAGTGTTAAATGTCAATTCTCTTTCTAAAATATATAGAATATAAACCCATTTTGCACAGAGCAGAATGCTCATAAAATATCAAGTGGCACCATATTCTTTGCTCAGTTGTAACTGCACTAATTTAGGACTACATCAAGAACAGCTGCCAGTTTCACCTATGTCAGTCACCTAGACACAGGGAATAAGGTGCCTCACCCATTCTCAGTGAGCATGAGTTATTTCTATGCTGTTGCTTTCACAACCTTAACAGAATTCTTTGAAGTTTGTCTTCAAAATTGCATAAAGGATAAACAAAATTCTCCCTCTCTTCAGCATTCACATCTCTCCTTAAACAGTTCAGCTGCACAAGTCTTCAATTTAGAGCAAGGCAGTGATGAAAAATCTCAGTCCTTACCTGTCAAAACCTGAAAGTTTCCTTTGCCAAAAATAAACTTCTTGTCAGGATTTTTTGTAGGAATAATTATTTTTTCTACAACGGTCCAGTTCTGAAGGGTATCTACAAGAGCAACGGCTTCAGCAATCTGCAGTTCAGCTTTAAGAACACAAAAGAAAAAAAAATAAAGAACCATCATAACTTTGCTCAGATTTCCAGTAACTACAGTATGTGTGTGAAAGGGGAAAAAACTAAGCTACAGTGAAAATCTACTGGGGTATATATTTTAACCTCTGGCACAAGGAGCAAAATGTCTTACCTCCAATCAGAGTAACTACATTTCTAGTTTGATGCAATTTGATCACCCAAAGCATCTTTCTGCCAGCACAAATTGTTTCTGTGATTGTTGATTTAGAATTTTAAACTGTATTGTCAACATAGAAATTATGAAGCTTTTCACCTCAAATGGAATGAATAACCAGCTGGAAAATAAATTGTTGTTTCAGATGGGCACAAACCCACCTGATTTAATTCCTTGGTGTTGTGTACTAATATTTAATGACTGACTAATATGGCATACCCTGCTGCTTACATCACTGATGCTTATTCATGAAGGACCTACATCCATTTCTGACTTGCTAAAAACCAGATTTCAATCCTGTATTCAGGTTAAGCAGTAGAGCTGGTTTTGGTTTGCCAAACTTTTCATCTTCTCCTAACGTATTTGTCAAGTTTCTCTAGATAGCAAAACATAATTTACATATTAAATAGGTTACCTTGGTCCAAAAGGCAATATATTTTTAAAGATAACCATGATCCTTTCTCGTCATATTATTAATGTTTCTTGTAGAATGCACAGGTTTCCTGTTGCACCTGTGGTGTTTGAACAATCATTCCAAAACATCTGTTCAGACAGGCTCTTCATCTGGAGGGCCTAAATCATAGAATCATAGAATCCTTTATGTTGGAAGGGACCTCCAAGATCATCAAGTCCAACCATTGAGCCAATAGGGCTCTAAAGTCCTCTGCTAAAACAGATCAGAATCTGTCAGGGTTGGAAGGGAGCACAAGGATCCCCCAGTTCCAACCCCTCTGCCATGAGCAGGGACACCTCCCACTAGATCAGGCTGCCCAGAGCCTCATCCAGCCTGGCCTTAAAGACCCCCAGCAATGGGGCCTCAACCACCTCCCTGAGCAACCCATTCCAGGGTCTCACCACTCTCATGGGGAAGAACTTCTTCCTCATGTCCAGCCTGAATCTGAAAAATAAATGGACAGGGACCACTGCTATTCTTCTGTATGTCTGGACAGAAAGATGCTTTCATATTTTATTTATTTTTCAGTTGTAAAATGGGAGTGGTTGTGTAAATTCTGAGCAGGTTACAAACTTTGTTGTGCAACGGGACAGTGTGTTAAGGGTGCTTACATGATGCTTAATCCTTTCTATTACAACATCATAATGAGAAGTGTTTGGAGATCTATCAAGTCCATCATGTATCTTAACTGTGCATGTTTAATGCCTCTATATTAGCTAGCCATGAGGATTTCTGAGAGAAGTCTAAGAATACCAATGCTAAATGAGGCACTTATAGAGGAATTATTGGTGACTGAATCACTAAGTAAATAATAAAAGCACTTCTTTTTAAGTCCATGAGAGGACTCGCACAAGACCTCATCTTCACTGCACTCTCTTCTTTAGACAGGAGGCTATTCCTGCTCTTCAGCCAACTCCTGGGCAAGCCTAAGGCTGGTTCCTTACCAACCCAAACGCCCTAAACAGCCCAGTTGTTCACAGTGGAAGCCCCAAAGTGAGCGCAAATTACGAGATGAGCGCAGACCTGCACTCGCCACTGAAAAAGTTCCCAAGGCAGAAAGTAGCAGCTTCAGCCTTTTATCCAGGCTCCTACGGCGCTAATTAGCGCAGCGCACACTTCGCGGTTTTACCGCTGTAAGAGCCGCTCTACTTCAGCTACCACACGAACTCCCGACGCGTGCTCCTGCGGGCCGCAGAGGCCTGCACAGGCGCACACCGGGACGCGGGCAAGGGGAGACGGAACGCGGCGGTACGAGGCAGCGGAGGCCTGACTGACAGGCCTCAGCGCGGCGGAA